CAGCCATAATAATGTCCACGATTACTCGGGATAAAATTTTCGAACCTGCCGGCTTCAACATTGCACAGTGACTGACAACCGGAAATCGCGCATTAAAACTAACCGGATGTAGTCCCCCTGACCTCTCACCCGGCCGACAAAAAGTAGTCCCGGACCGGTTGTGAGAGGCGGGAACGCAGAGCGACAAAGGAGGGAGGGAATATAGGGTATTTCACCCAGTTTAAACCGGATCCAAAGAAGAACAATAATGCTTCCTGAACTATTTCCTCCTTGACGCTCATTGGCTAACGCGGACGAAGTTCGTGAACCCGCCACCAGGTCAGCGAGTGCCCTAGTGTCGGGTGCGAGAACTTCGTCCGCGTGAGCCAATGAGCGCCAGGGAGGAAACAGTTCAGGAAGCATTATTGTTCTTCTTTGGATCCGGTTTAAACTGGGTGAAATACCCTATTCTAATAGTAGTCTAACGAGATAACAGAGCGTTACACTTTGGAATGCCGGGGGAACGCCTCACTCCTCACATGTAGGGAGTATCCTCTCCAAGCTGGCAGTCGTTTTGTAGCGGCCGAAAAGGAGGGCGCTCGCAAGGGTAGCTATTTTCATTCACGAAACTATATTGCACCATGATTGCACGCAAACTCTGTCAAGGGTATTTTTTCGCCGTTTTTCGCCATACTGCCCGTAAGCAGCAGAGAGAGGGGGCACAACTTTATTTTCCGCCACGGCGCGTCTTGATTTGACGGCGTCAAGACTCCTGTCGAGACTGCCGGTCCCAGGCCCGCTCAGCCGGGCGAACGGTGGGCTCTGCGGTTGGCAGGGTTGGCACACCTGTTGCTCGCGGCCCGTCGTGGCGTGGCGCAGCGCCATATCAATTGCATGAAAACATGCACCCTTAATTACTGCCGCTTCAACACGCGTGCGCGCTCTATAGGAAGCGAAGTGTGTGTGTGGGCGTGAGTGAGTGTGTGTGTGTGTGTAGGGGGCGGGGGCAGAGAGCCCCTCCGCCGCCGCTCTCGCAGGCACACACCAACACCATCATTGTTATTAATTTCCAATGAGGCTGGGATGTAGTGTGGATTGGAGAATGGCGGGGCTGCCAAGTTGTTTGTAATTTTGTTTGGCAGCGCTGAGCGAGCGCCGCGCCACACGTCTAGCTGGGGAGGGA